GCATTAAAAGTTTAAAACCTACTCAAGGTCAGAAACAATAGTAATTAAATACAAATTCAAATTTAGAGTAATTATTGCAAATTTCGAAGGAGTTATAAATATGGAGATGTAAATCTATAAAGGTACACCTAGTATAAAATGAGCGGTCGGGATACACAGGATTTCAGTGGAAAGCTGAATCTTGACTGTCTTGGTTGCATTTCATACAGGTGAGATAATTTTCTAAGACTTGCGCGGTTTTTGTCAAATTATTAAAATTTTCACTTGGCTTAATTTAGTTACAGATTACAATCTTTTATATCATAACTAGTAATGTTTAGTATAATTTATAGTATATTGTAAGAAATTATTTACTGTAATCATAACGATTACAAAAATATTGTTTAATTTAACAAAGAGTGGAAAGCTGAATCTTGACTGTCTTGGTTGCATTCTATACAGGTTGGGTAACATGTCCACTCCTCAACCATGGCAGCCGCTCTGGTCCACAAATTTAAAAGGAATTATATAATAAGAGAGAGTAGTGAAATTGAGCTATCCCGGTACCTCTCCACAAAATCCAGTTAATGAGATCCACGAGTTCCATGCAGTCAATTAGATAATCTGCTTATGGGAAAAACAAACAAGAACCATTTTTTAAATTTTTTTTTTATGAAAATACCTTCACCACCTGCAAAATGAGTATATATATCTCACTTGATTCGATACGCAAGAGCATGCTCTACGTTTAAACAATTTCTAAAACGAGTTAAATTATTGACAAGCAAGTTGAAGAAACAAGAATATCAACAGTCTCGTTTAAAGTCATCATTTCGAAAATTCTATGGTCGATACAATGACCTTGTCGATCATGACGAGGAGCACACGGCGGTTGTGACCGGTCAGCAGGGGATGCTCACTCCTCCATGGCACTTGATCCCACCTCTTCTGTTTCGGAGGTTCGTGTTTGCTCTGCTTCTATCTTGTATTGTTTTATGGACTTTGATATTGAATACTGTTCGTTATCTCCATATCCTTCTTCTTTTAAATACATTGATTCTTTAGCCATGTATGTAATGCATGTATTTAATTTGAGCATGTTCGAAAATGCCATTTTAAAAAAATTGATCCTTTGCCATAGAATCCATAAAGTAAAGTAAAACAATTTTTGCAAGATTTCGATTTCCTGATCTTCGACATTTATCATAGAGAACTTGGTAAATACGTAAAATATGAGTTTCACAGCTACTATATGAAGATTTCTATTCATAAAGAGTAAATATTTTAATATTTAAACATTGTTTTTTTTCGACGGTGCAGTAGGTAAAACAATCGTTCTTTGAGTTTCCATTGTCTTGCATGTAAATTGCAACAAGAAAAATCATATTTTTCTTAATTCGCATCAATAAATAGTCTCTACGATATAAAAATATAAGATGCTCTCATTTGATTTTTTTGCTGCAATCATGAAGATAACGAGATCATTAAATCATTTGTATAGTTGTAATTCGTAGTCATTCACAAGTACATTTTATTCTATGTATAAAATTCCTAGAATTTTATAGCTAACAAAGCTTTCTCAGATGAAAACGAACGGTGCATATTTGTCGATATTCTTGAAATTAACATTTTTTTGAAAATTTTATTATGCTAAAGTACATTTCTTTGGAACATGTTAAAACAAATATAGTGCTTGATAACAAGAGTAACTTTCATGCCCAAGTAGGAAATAAATATTCTGCTTTTGTTATTCAGGGAAGTAGAATAAAAAGTGCTTATTAACCTCAATATACACCATTTTAAGTTCATTCTAATAATACATATCTAAAGAACACTAACATGACTATAAACTTTATATTTTACTAGTTATTAAATTAATTAAATTATGAAAATAAAACCATCGCAATTGGTACTTTTTCAGATATCAGAATTCAAACGACTTACAATATAACCCTTTGTTAGAAGATTGTTTAGTTTTTATTGCAATTAATGGAACGTTAATTCCCCAGTGTATCAAGAAACAAAGAAATACATTTTCTTGTTTATATCTATTTATATAGTAATCAAATAAAGTAGGATAAAATATGTATGTATATATATGTATAATTAATGTGTATGTCGTTGTATGTTTCATTGATGGAAGTGCCACTGCTCAGGAAATTTGTATTTATGGTGTGCTATGCGGCGTTCATATAAAACAAAAACACAAGAAAAAATTAAAGGAGCCGATGTCTGTTAAACTTTGTCATTCCTTATTAAAAGGATTATGAACAACACTGCCAAATTTCGCGTACGCTTGGGTAGAAATCCTCTCACCGAAAAATGTCATCATACAAGGTATAGTTTGGAGTAAGTATTTTAATGGTGAAAATGCATTTGCATAATTGAAACATTTAAAGTATATTTGAGGTATTCAAAAATGCTTTTTAAATTGAATTTATATACTTAAAATAAAATATTGCATAAAAATCTTAAGAATATGCATGCCCTTCAAGAAAATCATTTCATTATTTTTATCCTTTTAAAATTAGTCGCCCGCGTGGCGCACTGGTTAGAGAGTCTGCTCTAGAGTTGCGAAGTAAGGAGTTGATCCTTACGTCGCGGGTTTGATTCCCATCGTGGGGCATGGAGACCGGTCCTTCGGGTGAGACCGAATAAACCGACCTCCCGTGTCGCAGTGGGTGTTGGCACGAAAAAGATCCCTCCCTGCTCACTGGCCCTGAGTGCCGAGTATAGGATAAAATTTGCAGCTCTCTACCGGCAAGAGGCGGCGTATCCATATGAGTGAAAAATTCTCGAGAGGGACGTTAAAAAATATACAATCAATCAATCAACCTTTTAAAATTTCAATGCAATTCACTAAATTTCATTTACCCAGATTTCTTCACACGTTCAGAGGTGAAGAATAGACTGTAAAAACAATGTTTATACATGTACAAACTGCTAATGATGAGATGGCTGGACATGACAGACAAAACCTATTACGCCATAGGGAGAAAGACAACAGCGGCAGTGTCCCTCTGGTAACCAGTAACCATATATCATTCTGTCCATAATCACAGCGGTTATATAATCCTTAAAAAGAATCTATACCTAATGCGGGCTTTAAAACTTGCTCTGATAGGAGATGTCTTCTATGTAAGCACAGCCTCTGACACGGCCGACAGCTTGTACGGCCCAGGTACAGGCTGCAAAATTCAAGAGTTGTCCTTACAAAATACTAGGGAATTTGTCCTGTCAAGCAAATAACTGCATTTATCTCATTAGATGCAAAGTTTGTTCTAAATAGTATATTGCGGAAACATCTACGTAGTAGAGTCAATAATCTCCGTTCGACCATTAAGACCAAAAACCTTAATGAACCCTTTAGGGACATTTCAACCTTGAAGATCACAAATGGGATGACATCACAATAGTGGTTATTGGCCATAATCCAAGATGGACAGACGCTCTGAGAAAAAGCAAGGAAAAGTTCTCGATGCACAGACTGAAGTCATTCCATCCTGTTGGCATTAACAAACTTAATAACTTCAGGATGAACGTGAACTAGACCCAATCCGGGATTATAACGAACAAATTCATTCTCTCTATATAGTGTAAACTTGACCGTTAATTTGCATAAGCGTTTCCAGAACAAACAATGCAGCACATATTTACAACTTACTTTTTTGTTTAATTCTTTAAACATTCCAAGGAACTTTTGGAAAATTTGAAATCACAAGATTTTATCAATCTCAACAGCTTTAAAACGTATGACTTTCAACTTTATACACAACCATTCCCCCATGATAAACTAATGCCCACGCATTTTTATATAATCTATAGCTGCTTTTTCAATAAAAATGGAACTCGAAACTTTACTTACCTTGTCATTGGTCATTTGCAAAATTAATTTGTTGAAAAACATTGTAATTGTACGCACAAGTACTCTGAAGTCGCATGACATCAAAAACATTCTTGAGTTTCTGATTGACAATATATGCATATATTTTTTTCGGAGACCAGGACTTCCAACAATCCATTGGAATTCAAATGGATACCTATTCCCCCCATTATAAGCAGACATATTTCTGTATACATTTCAAGCAGAATTCGTCCAATATCTTGTACGTGAAAAGAAAACACTTGTGGCTTTCAACTCGACATTTAGATATGTCGACGAGGTATTGTCAATTAACAATAGTAATTATGTCCATTCTCATGTCGATACGATATATCTTGGTGAGCTTGAGAAGAAATACCACATAGTCTGACACATCTGTTTCATATTTGGATATTTTACTTGAAAAAGACGTTAATGATAATCTAACAAGCAAGCTCTATGATAAACGTGATGACTTTAAATTTTCTATCCCCAACTTCCCTTACTTATGCAGCAAATTGAATAGACCTTCATCATCTGCATAGTACGAAGTTTATATCTCTCAGTTGATTCCATACTTATGAGCATCCTCTACGTATAAACAATTTCTAAAACGAGTTAAATTATTGACAAACAAGTTGCTTTAAAAATAGTATCAGCAGTCTGGTTTAAAGTCATCATTTCGTAGGTTCTATGCTCGATGTAATGACCTTGTCAGCTCATTTACACATTGAATTGACGAGGGATGTTTCGTTATTTTCCGATCATGGCGGGTGTGACCGGTCGGCAGGGGATGCTCACTCCTATATGGCACCTGATCCCACCTGAGCGCCGTATTTGCTCTGCTCCTCTTATGTATTATTGAATGGACTTTTGAGCTTGAATACTGTTCGTTATCACCACGTATTTCATTTTATTCGATTAACATTTCCAAATTCTTAATATATCCTTATTTTGATTTTATAATAATCATTGTCCTTCCATATTATCTTTCTTTAGTTTCTTTTCCTCTTGTAAAGTAACGCTAATTTGAGAGAATAAGAGTGTTCTATTTACTACTACAATTATTTAGCGATAATTAATTTGTTCAATTATGTAAATCTCGGTTCACCAGAAAATCATATTAAGGCAAGGCCATACTTTTTCGTTTCCGGTTTTAAATGTTATACACCGACATGAGACTTCCGGTTATGACTTGGACTTGGCGCAATTTTTCTTCGGTGGTTGTTTAACATAAAATTCATTTGATTGAATACAAATGCAACGATGCCCCGGTCTGAAAAAGGGACGTTCAGGAAAGCTTCGTTCCTGCGCAGACTTGAGGGACTAAAGAAAGCAGGAGAAGCAAGAGAAGCCCATGCCTTACGAGGTAAACATGGTAAGTGTCTGTATTGTGCGATCGTTCTGCTCTATTTTGACAGTTGGAATACGTAGCAAAAGATTCGATCATTAAATTAATCTATTTTGTAAATATTAAATGCCAAAAATGATGCTCCGTGCTTGGAAAATGATTCTTCCCCTGTCCTACGAACCGTTAATGGTCAAAGTGCAGAGAGTTCATGGCGTGTCGGAAGACGGATTGTAGAACTCGGCACTCTTGTTGATAATTTAAAAAGAGGTTGCACTATGTGTGGGAATGCACTTCAGCTTGTCAACACTATAGGTGAAAGGAAATTTGGACTAGGACAGGTATTTATTTTTATCAAATATTGTCAATGACTATGTACCTAAAAAATTCGTTTTTAAAGATGCGGCATTCGCCTTCACTTTCAGTTAACTTTTGGTCAATTGCAGGTTCTGCAGATAAAGTGCACACATTCCACTTGTGCCCATGTTAACGACATACCCACGAGCAGTAAGCATAGGGTTAAAGCAAATATGAAGCAATATGCTGGGGATGTCAACACAAAGCTGGCTGCAGGTATAAATTAGAAATTTTATCTAGACTTGCAAATAAGCAGATAAAAATAATTTAATACTAATAATACAGAAGTTAAAATGTAAAAGAATTATTTTATTTTCATTTTATTTCTGGTAATAATCTCTTAGGTATGCTAAATGGTGGTTATGGAATAACTCATGTAAATGCATTACTGGCTGCATTGAATATCCCGGGGATCACAAATAAGAGTCTTAAAAGCAGAGAAAGAGAGGTGGGGAAACACTTAGAGGCAATGGCAGGGCAGAGTTGTAATGAAGTTCTTCAAGAAGAAATGAAACTGTAATCTTTTTTAATTTATTTTGTTTGTATTGATATATAAATTATGTTTTGAATTTACATGTCAATAATATTTGTTAATACATATAATTGCACATTTGTGTTATTCATTTTGTAGAAGTGATGGAGACATCACTGTGTCTTTTGATGGTGCCTGGCAGAAGAGAGGTACTGGTAGAGGATACAATAGTCTCACTGGTATGCCCTGGAGATAATGTTATTCTTGCATGTTTTGATTCTCCCTCCTCAATAAAGATTGAGATTTCTTAACGACTTACATATTCTGATACATGACGTACATGTGATTGTAGTTATATGCTAGCAGTATTTATCTTGTTAATATTTTATTTTGTAGATTTGGAAGAAAATTTTAAAACCCGGTTTGGGGATATTAAAGCTATATTTCGGTGGTATTTGCTCTGGCATACACCTTCATTTGAAAATTAAAAGTTTTATCTCACTGGCATGTGTTTAAAACCATTGTGAGTGCTAACAAAAATATCTCCAGAATTACTTCCTCTTGATATAGGATATAAATACTCCTCGTCCTCATTCAAAAAGGAAGAAGCATTTAACTTGTTTATGAACATGTATATAAAATTACTTAGTTCATTAGGATAGTATTGTGATAGTACATTTATAAAGAATCCTAAGAATGATCTTCAACTTTATACTTGTACTTGTTTATCAGCTACAGGAGGACATCAGCGCACAAACAGATAAAGAAACATGTAGGAACCTAGAGTAAGTTTTTAGTTACTTATTCTTCATTTAATGAAAACACTTTGGTAATAATCTAGTGTCGTTTAAAAAACAATGTGGTTCTGCAATAGTCTGAAAGTCAGATTAATAAGATTACTTTTTATCTGTCTAGTGGTACCTTCAAATGCTGCTCTGGTTATTATTCGTATAATAACAGTTGTATTGGTAAGTATCACATTATAATATGTTTCATCACTATAAGACATTTATGTTTTTACCAAATATATTTTTGCTTATTGTTTTTCACTTATATTACACAAAAACAATAATACAAGTTTCCTAGAATGTATATCTTATGAATAATTGTTGAAATTCTTTAGAATGTTTTGGAGCATTTGGAGAAAACTGTTCCACAGAATGTGTTGAGAATTTCTACGGTTACAGATGTAGCGAAATCTGTAACTGTAAACCAAATCAAGTTTGTAATAAATACGTAGGATGTCAAGTGAATGGTGAGTGATGTCTGGTTATTTGCATTAGATGACATTTCTTTTTTAGAACTGATGTTGTGTGCAAAATTTTAATATTTGACGTACATATGTATCGAAAAGGATTTGCGAATAGATGTTAACGCGATTGCAATATGAAACAGATGCAAACACGTGTTATTAAGGAAGATAAGGAACAGAAACTAAAATACTCTATCAGTAGCTAATCCATGATTATGTGTATAAAATCATAATAACGCATGTGCTCAGATAGTATTTATAAGACCGCAACACAGTTTATAATTTTAAAAACAGATTTCATGCAAGGTAAAGGCTGCTCCTAGAAAATTTTACACATTAAGAAGGATGCATTATGCATGTATATACGATGGCCGATATGAGCCGTCAAAATACAAGTAAGAGTAGCTCTATTATGTACGTAGAATCAATGGCAAAACGCAAGAAGTTGTAGTAGTAATTTGTGCATGTACACTAATCTTGAGACAAAATACACTCGAGACTACTTAACATTCCTTAGATTTATTGGGAAGATTATCTGTAAACTTAGAAGGAACAAAATCAAAAACATGTGTATCTGATTTTTCTTCTATTTTGTTAAATAAATGATGTGTACCTTTCTTCAATTGATCACAAAATGCAGCGAGTTTTGTTTTTTTTTATTTTCGTCTTTGATCTCATCAAATATTTTGCAAGTGTCTCTATTAAGATTCTTTGGGTGTTTTTGATTTTAACTTTTACGACAACAAAATCTTAACCTTAATCATAAGTCCCAAGATGCTGGTTAAAAATTCCAGAAACAAGGGATATGTATCTTAATTATTTCTTTTGCCGCTAGATGAGAATCTGTTTCTTGATGATCTGTGTAAGAAATGTGTTTATTTTTTCATATTGGCGGATCCAGAGAGGGGGGTCCTGGGGTTGGAACCCCCTTTTATTTTTGCCAAGTGGAGAGAGAGAGAGAAAGAAAGAACGTTTTCCGAGAATACTAGTAAATATTTGTACGTCTATTTTATGTATTGAATAGATTGATTCTCACACATTTATTTTCCTCCATTCACCTTCACTATTGTTTTTTTTAATGAGAGAATGGAAGAAACTATTCTACGTATTTTTATACATTTTATGTGTGATATGTAACATGCAAGGTTTAATTTGATTTTAGATTCCCGCGATCTTTGGCTGTGTTTGTTATATACATGTACGTACCATGTTTTGATTATATCTTTTGAAGGAACTAACATGCAACTCTTTATTTTAAACCCCACCCGCACCCCACCCCAAAAACGTTTTTTAAATTCTAAAAAAATCCTTTGTACTTGAATTCTATTTTAAGGCATCAGTAGTTTTTGAAATATGTTTATTTTTTTATTTGGACTGGGGGTATGTTTTCAAAGAAAAAAGGAAATAAAACAAAGATAATATTTACCACAACCTTAGATCTTGAGAGTTTGTAAGGGGGGGGGGGGGGTTAGAGGGACACAACCCTGGAACCCCCTTTCAAAAATGGCTGGATCCTCCCCTGTTTCATACGATACTTTGCCCTTTTTCCACATTACTTTTCATTATTTTTTTTTCTCATTGGAACGAAGGAACATTCCGTAAATTTGTGTAAGCAGAGACAGAAAAACACCTGTTTCTGTTCTTTTTTTATTGAGAATTGGTAAATACATGTAAATGATGTATCATATGCCAATGCTTTTAATGATATTTAAAACAGTAACACTGATTTTACTTTTACATATATTGTCAGCGATCTAATCTATCGTTTTTTTCCCATCATTTATTTAAGGCATATTTTATTAGAGTCGTTATTCAGATTTCATAGTAAATGAGCTGCATTTTATGTTAAACATTCTGTATTTCCTCATTCGTTCCGAGAAAAAAAATTAATATGGAAAAGGCAGAGCATAAAATTAAAAATAAACACATTTCTTGCACATATCATCAAGCAACAGATTTTTATCTGGATGGAAAAGAAATAATAAAAATGCAGCTTCATTGTTTCATGAATCTTTTACCGGTATCTTGGGGCCTACGAATAAAGGTTGAGATTAATAATTTTGTTGTCGTGAAAGTTAAAATTTAAAAAAACTGAGACTACAATTAAAAAAACACGCAGAGTGATCAAAGGCGAAAATGAAAATAATCTTGCTGAATTTTGTTAATCAACTGAAGTAAGGTGCACACCATTTATTAAACAACTAAAAATGAGGGGAATCGGAGAAAATAGAGGGAAAAATCAGCAACATATGTTTTTGATTTTGTCCCTTCTAAGTTTACAGATTATCTTCCCAATAAATCTAAGGAATGTTAAGTAGTCTCGAGTGTATTTTGTCTCAAGATTTGTACATGTACAAATTATACTACTACAACTTCTTGCGTTTTGCCATTGATTCTACGTACATAATAGAGCTACTTTTTACTTGTATTTTGACGGCTCATATCGGCCATCGTATGTATACGTTTTAGACAACTATAGCAATCTCTCTGCTTCATTCAATGAACAAGAAAAAGGCTGTGGTGAGAGCGGTATACTGATTCTGGTGATTGGACTTGGATCCGCGACTCTGTCAGCTTCTCTGGTGTTTGTCGGTATTATGTTTTGCAGATGGTAAGAACCATTTGTAGTTTATTTTTCTAGCCTTTGTTTTTCTTTCTTTCTCAATTATATGCTGAAACTTCAACCAGTTTAAAGCATGGAAACTTTTTATGCAAATTTCAATCATATCATAAAAGAGAGGTATATCATTTTATTCTTTTTTATCAATATATAACAAACTGTGGTGTATATGAGAAACAAAAAAATAAGAGTTTTTATTGATTTCCGAATTGATTACATCCTCCATGTAAATTGTTGTTCATAATTAATGAATAATTGTTAGTAATACACAATTAATAATTAAATAATCTAAAATCTCATTCTAGGCGGATACATTTGCAGAGTACATTTAAAATCAGTGAGGACAACACAAGTGGTAAAACACAATTTAGATCGTAGCAATTGTATATGTATTTCGTAACATTAGGAAAAATATTTAAATAATAATTACGTTTACAGGGTTTCGAGTGGACTTGCTTTCATTTCCTGGTAAACAGGAAATATATCAAGAAACCTATGACGATGTTCGGGAATCCAAAATGAGCCTCGATGGAAAGAAAAATGAAGAACGTGCGACAGCGGAATACAGAATAAACTCTACAGGGTACAATCAGTTGTTCAACTACAAGAATAACGCGAAAAAGAAACCAGACAAGGAAGGAGGCGAAGGGTACGCCTCTGTTGACGCACGTTACCAAAGAGAAAGTGTTCTTGTCACCTTGTCCGAGTTTCCTGGTGACGATTGTTACGCCAGTATTCCCCAGAATGCCAAGCGTTTACGGAGAATATCAAAGTCCTGTTCCGATTTAAAAGCGGTCACTTCTAAACCATATGTAAACACTTTAAGCAACAATTACGATGACTGTGTGCCAAATATGTCAGAGAAAGCTGTTTTAATTGAGCATTTATAATTCTCATTTCATTTATAATTATCATTCCATCACAAACGAAGAAAACTCTTGAATAAACAACGCGTATTGCATAAGAAATCATTCTTAGCTCACCGGAGCGAAGGCTTAAGTGAGCTTTTCTGATCAATATTTGTCCGTTGTCTGTCGTTGTTGGCGTTATCGTAAACATTTTTTTTTTACATTTTCAACTTATTCTCAAGAACCAATGAGCGATTTTCAACCAAACTTGTCACAAAGTATCATTGGGTGAAGTGCATTGAAGTTTGTTCAAAGAAAGGACCACACCCTCTTCCAAGGGGGAGATAATAATGAATTAGTGAAAAATTAATGGCATCTTTTAAATATTTTCTTCTCAAGAACAACTGAACCAGGAAAGATGAAACTCATGCGAAATCATCCTCAGATATTGTAGATTGATGTTTGTTCAAATCATGATCCCCATGCAGGGGTAGGTGGGGCCACAATGGACTAATCAAAGTTTTACATAGAAATACATAGGTAAAATCTTTAAAAATCTTCTTCTCAAGAACAGCAAAGCCATGATTGGTCATATTTATATGGAAACATCCGCAGGTTGTGTAGATTCAAGTTTATTCAAAACATGTCCCCCGGGTTAGGGTGGGGCCACAATAAATGATTAAAGTTTTACATAGAAATATATAGGGAAAATCTTTAAAAATCTTCTCAAGAACAACAATGCCTGGTTGGTCATATTTATATGGAAGCATCTTCAGGTGGTGCAGATTCAAGTTTGTTCAAAACATGATCCCGGGGTAGGGTGGGGCCACAATAGACAAATAAACTTTAGCATAGAAATATAGGTAAATATCTTTTCCTCAAGAACGGCAAAGCCATGATTAGTAATATTCATATCGAAGCAGCCTCAGATAGTGTTTTAATCGTAACCCCTCCTCCTTACCCTTTTTTGCCTTTTAAGGGTAGGTTGGGACCAGTTATGCATTGAAGCTGTTGATATTTGCTTTTTCCTAGCCACAGTGCTGTGAGCGATGTGGCCCCTGGGCCTCTGTTATATTGTACTACAGGGATTCTTAGCTGCATTCTAGCTGTAGGTGTAACTCAGGTTGAAAATTGTAATTATCTGTTTTTAAAAGTATTAACAATGATTTTTAATAACATTAAGAGATATAACATTAAAAAAAGCGTTGAAGTTTTTAAATGATCGGTTTTGAAAGATACCCGCATACCCTTATGTTATTTATTAAGATAAACGATCTTATAAACTTGGAAATTTGAGTACGTCAAGTATAATCACAAACATGTGAAAAAAATGAAAAGAAAAATAAAATCAAACGTACAACATATATTTCATTTCCTACAGGATCTCCCATGATTTGTAGTTATATAAACATTATATTCAACTACAAATCATAAGAGTTTTTTTTATCCCTTGTTTTATACATATAACAATGTAATCATGCATTATTATTACATTTTCAACTGTGAAATACCAAAACTTATTTATTGGAATAAAATGATATCCTCTCACAGTGTGACAATACCGGAATTTGTAACTTTCTGATAAGGGTCTGTCATCTTTATCATTAATAATTAGGAAACGGATTAGTATAAGTTTTAAACTTGTCTCCGAATCCTTTTTGATTTTTGTACAGGACCTCATGCCTGTATCTTCTGCTTGTCATTTTAAACTAAAATATGGTATTTAGTTTAAACTTAATTCTCGATTTTCTTTTCATAACAAAGAACATTGTTAATACTTTTTGGCCTGTTTTAAGATAGAAGAGAAAATAAAGTTTTCTGCAAGAGATAAAAAAACTGTCCTGCTTTATCACTGGAATTCTCCAATTAAACCCATGTTTATGTCAATAGATAGAGTGTAATTTTTTCCGAGAATTAGAAAAGTTAATCACTAATGTATGTACGCACAAAATTCCTGTCATGGTGATTAGATTATAATTTGGAGTATTCAAAGTTGGTACAAAATAACCGTTACGTCTAAGCATTCAGAGGACAATCAAAATCTATTAAATTCCTCCTTACTCAACTTTAGCATGATCTTTTTCTAGTACAGGAGTTGAGAACATTTAATTGATTCGTTATTATTTATATTTAAGAATTCCCTCAAGACTATTCAGACTTTTTCGTAAATCTACCTGAGGTTTTTTTTTTTCTAGAGACAGCTTTCATGTAAAGACAGAAACACTTGTGTCTGTAATAGAAGTTTACCCTACAGCATATATTATTACTATGGGGTAAATTTTTATTATACGTACAAGTGTCCCTGATAAATACAAAACAGAAAACCTATGCTATGAGTTATAAACATATTTGTTTAAAAAGATGACTCTTACTGGGTTCTTTGATCAGAGATTTCTTACAACATGTACCGTTAGTTTAACGCTTAGCTGATGTCATTTGTAGTGCATATACTTCAAGAAAATCTTAATCTATGGATTTGATTGACTTTTTTCTTGCTATGGATAAATATTTTATATTAAAATTGGAACTGAATTAAGTTTTTGAGATTTGATTAAAGTTTTGGCTAGTAACATTTTTTATTAGAATTTGAAATGGTTATTTTGAAACACCTGACTATGCAACAAATAAACCTACGAAGCATTGCTTGCTTAATTCTTTTTACAAGAATAGTTCGAAATCTTTACTTAATTTTGTTCTCAGTTTATGGTCTTGGGGCCAGTTCTTCCGTTGTGGCTTCAATTTACTCATGGGGGTTATCATTTACCTTGCTTTAGAAATTGTTCATACGTAGAGCATGCTCTTGCGTATACTGAATCAACTGAAAGATTTAAATCTCGTATGCAGGTGATAAATCCATCACGTATATCATAGATATACTTGATGTTAGATTGCCATTAACGTCTTTTCCCAGTAAAATATCTAAATATGAAATAAAATGTGTAAGACTCTAAGGTTTTTTTAATCTCACGTTCAGCGGGATATATCGTGTCGACTTAAGAATGGAAATAACCATTGTTAATTGACAATACGTTGTCCATATATTTCAATGTTGAGTTGAAGGCAACAGCAAGTGTTTTCTTATTGTCACGTATAAGCTTTTAATAGGTCTGCTAATAACGGGGCCCTCTTGGTATCCATGGGAATTCCATTTGATTGTTGGAAGACCGGGTCTCCAAAAACCACAAAGATGTTGTCAATCAGAAACTTGGCAATATGGTATTTATTCAAAAAAGTGTTTAGCTCCCTTAATATTATGTTCTGAAATTTTCTTCTTTTTCAGCATTCATACCAGTATAACTCAGGCATCTCTTTAATATGAACTTCAGTGTACTGTGTGTACAATCGGAGTGTTTTTAACAAATTTATGTTGCAAATGACCATTTACAATGTATGTAAATTTACTAGTTCCATTTTAATTGAAAACAATAAACAGCCGTAAATGATTTTAAAAAACCTGGACTTTATTTTATCGTGGGGAATGGTTGTATGATATGTTGAAACGCCGTAAGTATTTATGTTGCTGAATATTACGATTATAAATTTTCCAAGCGTTCCCTGGAATTGTTACATTTCCAGGGACATCAATAACAGTTTGAAACGTGGGATAATTTATGCATAACGGGCTTCGTTGATGCACTGCCATACCTAACAAACTAAACAGTGATTACTTAATTTATTTATTTTTATTGTTTAACTCCGATTTTAACGCCAAGTCGGCATTATTTCAGCCATAATTAGGCGGTATTCGCCTTAAATTCACATACATAATTTTGGTAAATTAAAAATTTTATTTTAATACACATGCATAAAACAATAGTGTGTGCTAACAAAAATATCTTCTCCAGAATAACTTCCTATTGATTTAGTATATAAACACTCCTCGTACGTCATTCAAAAAGGAAGACGCATTTATTGTATTTAATAACCCGTATATCAAATCATTAAGTTCATTGTGATAGTACACAAAAGGAATTCTAAAGATGATCTTCAATCTTATACTGATACTTGTTTATCAGCTACAGGTGGACATCAGCGCTCAGAAAGATAACAAATGCAGGAGAACAAAGTTTGTTTGCTTTCATCTTTACTTATTTTTTATTATGTAAAAAATATGTTGAAAATTACTTTGATATTATAATGTTGTTATAACAAAAAATTAGTACTATAGTATGGTGTTAATGAGATACAAATTACTAGTATAATAATATAACTTTTTATCTATCTAGTGGTGCCTTGATATGCTGTACTGGTTACTATTTGTTTAATGATCGTTGTATCGGTAAGAAACATATGATATATCAAGTAATTACAAGTACATCATTCAACATATTATATGACACTAATTTTATTGTTTAATATTTTTCATACATAATACAGAAATGAAAAATTTTCTGAAATATAAATGTACTGAACAATTGTTGAAATTCTTCAGAATGTTTTGGAGCATTTGGAGAAAACTGTTCTACGCCATGTGGAGAGAATTCGTACGGTTACAGATGTAGAAAAACCTGTAATTGTACAGAGAACAAAGTTTGCAATAAATATATAGGATGTCAGGTGCATGGTAAGCGGTGTTTTATTCAGTTTAGAATTGATGTTATGAACATTATTGCAATGTGTGACGTATCAAAAACGGTTTGCAATAAATAAGTTTTAGGGGGAACTGAATGTCTTTTTAGTATACATTGGAATTAACAATTATGTTCATAAAATCAGTATTATAAGTAAGCTGGAATAGAGTACCTTAACCCGGAAAACGTTTCATCATTTAAAGAATTTAAACAGATTTCAGGTAAGGTAACGCCCGTTTTCCAAAAATGTCGTAAATTAAGAAGGATAAATTATGCATGTATATACGTATTTTAGACATTTATAGCAATCACTTAGGTTTATTCAATGCAAAAGAAAAAGACAGTGGTGAGAGCGGAATACTGGTTCTGGTGATCGGCCTTGGATCCGTTACTTTGTCAGCTTCTCTGGTGTTTGTCGGTATAATGTTTTGTAGATGGTAAGAACCATTGTAGTTTTAAATATTTCTTCAGCCTTAATTTTTATTTATTTCTTTACTGAAATATACGCTGAAGTGATTTTTATATAACAAGAGAAATCATACACAGTATGGAAACTTGCAACTGGTATGCAAATTTCAATCAAACTAAAAAAAGAGGGAGTTATCATTTGATTCTTTTTTAATCTACATAAAATAACCCGTGGTATTTATGAGGAACAAAAATATAGTTTTAACAGTTTACAGAAAGGGACATTAATGACTTCCGAGTCAATTACATTATTGATGTGAATAATTGTTTACAATTAATAATCAATTGTTAATAATAAACAACTAATAAAGTTAATCTGCAATCTCATTCTAGGCGGATACATTTGCAGAGCACATTTAAAATCAGTGAGGACAATACAAGTGGTAAAACATAATTTTAGATCGTAACAGTT